CCCTCCCCTCCCTTCCTTCCCTTCCCTTCCCTTTCCTTTCCTCTCTTCTCCTCTCCTCTCCTTCCCCTCCCCTCCCCTCCTCCCCTCCCCTCATTTCCTTCCTTTCCATCTTCCTTCCCCTCCCCTCCCTTCTCACCTCCACTCCATTCCATTCCTGTATCACCTGATACAGTGTTTCTGGGAGATTTACAGTACAATAAACAATAAAAAGTACTCGAAAATAAAAATATAAAAATTGAATAGAAAAGCTAAAAACCAAGAAGATGGGTGGGATCTTCTCTACCTGGTCAGCCACTCCCAACATAGCAGGCTTGGGACCCCAGGCCAAGCAGCAGAACTAAGTTTTTAGGAAAATCAGGAATGCAGGGTAGAACTCATCTCTGATGAGTCTTGCAAATGCTTGCATCTACCTCTGTTCGTCTTTTGACTGTATTGTTTACATTTTGATATTTCTTGCCATCCTCATTTTTAATTCATCTTTAGCTTCATCTTCTCTTATATAGTTTCTATAATTTCCGGACATTATATTGTATTCTTCTTGGGTTATATTCCCTTTTCCAGGTTTCCTTGGTAACTCTAAGCAGCGGTCTTCCAAGTCATTCAATAATTTAAAACTTTAAAAAGCTTGCTCCCAGGTCCCAGTATTTTGGCTCTGAAGAACAAGCATTTGGTCATTTATTTTAATTCTGTATATTTAGCAGTTCTTCGAGATGAAGCCAAAAAGACCTGTTCCAAATATACACTTTGTGTACTGGACACAAAATTTCTGGCTTGCAGGACTGTGTTAGCTTTTGATTATACTTTCTTAAATTGGTCAGTTAATAAGCAAGCAGATTTTACAAAACAATGGTAGTATTGCTTATATGCAAAGTATTATCCTTAGAATTTGAATTATTCTTATTTCATACTAGAGAAGAATTTCATTCTAAAGATATTTAGAATGTCAAGGATATAGGCTATTGGAGTCTATGTACATTTAGTAAAAAACATCTGAGAAGTCACGTCCTCTACTTATTTGCTAATACTCCCAAATAGGTTTGTCTTAAGGTAGGCATTTCAATGTGTGATCTTAAAAGCTGACTTTAGAACTTCTCTTTGAGATTACTTATAACCACATATTATATGTACAGGCTGGTATAAATGACAGGAAAGCTTTCTTTTCAGCTGCCTTTAAATAAATCGATACTAAGCCTTTTCAGATTAAAAAAGGGCCTTCCATCTTGGTTTCATGTTATTCGAATTTCACCCCAAACTCTTGGCTACACTGACTCCATTAAAATTGGAAAAAGAGGCTCTTCCTCTAATATAGTAAAGTTGAGGGGAGGAAACATGTTGAGTTGCTTTGATCAGATTTTGAAATTTAACTGGATTACCATTGTATTCAAAACATAATTTATAGTAGCTGACATAAGCTGTTCTTTGTATAAGAGTCGTATATATAACAATAACAGGAAAATAAAAAAATGCAAGAGGAACTAAATCTGCTTTATTTATTATTTAGTTCATAAATGCATCCAATTTAATCTTTTGAATCCTGACATGCTTTTAATAGTAAATGTTCAAATAATATTTAGTATACCCAGGAGAAATAGCTTTGAATATTTCCTCTGACCTGAGAATTTTTTGGTAAAATGTGACCTTTCTATAACCCAAATAGTGTATTTTATGCAGACTGGACTACATGGAACATATTCTATTATCTAGTAGTATGTTTGCCAAGTACTGACGGAATGATGCATTTTCGGCCTGCAAAGCAATTTTAGTCTTGCTGGGTAACTTTAAAAATTAATGTTAGTCTGTTTACTATTTACTATCAACTTATGGGCACAACTGGAAATGACAATCAGCAGTATAAATGATGGGAAGTGTAAAATATCAAATAAAATACTATTTGTCAATTTAAAACTGATTGATCTCCAAGTCTAGCCTTTCCAATCTGACACTTTTTAGGTGGACTGGAATCTTATCTCCAAGAATTCAATTGGCCTAACTTTGGTAGATCATAATGTGCTTTGGTGTGTGTGTGTGTTTAGCACATTGCTTGAATCCAGCCTTTGTAGCCTGTAAACTTCTCTTTATAGTTGTGTAGGTCAATTAAAACTATGGTGAAATAGATTGTGTGACTGGGCAATGCACTACTAGAAAATGCAGAATTAAATTCTAGTCTTTATGACTTGTTTTATTCTATTTTAAAAAGATTCCAAAAGCATTTATGTAAAGTCAAAAACTAAGAAGACAATTAGGCAGATTTTGAACTCACCCTGCTATGTATATACCAAATTAAAGGCATCTTGTTTTATTTATCTTTCCGAAATTAAAATTAATATTAAATCCCCAAACATCCCACAAAGATTAGATGAGGTTTGAGGAGTGTTTTCAAGGTATTGTGTATATATTTAATTTCACTTATTTTAGTGAGGCTTGTTGCAGTTTTAGTGAGAAGCTTGTTGTAGCTTCCAACAAAACAAAGCCTTTTAAGTCATCTGTTAGGACATTTATTTTTTATTTATTTATTTTGTCAAGCGATTATAAGATAACAGGTATAGTATAAGCATGGGTATGAATACATGAAATGGATACGAATAAAAAAGAAACAATAGGACAGGGACAGTAGGCACGATTGGTACGCTTATGCACGCTCCCTACAGGCCTCTTAGGAAGGGGGTGAGGTCAATAGTAGACAGTCTAAGGTTAAAGTTTTTGGGGTTTGGGGAAGAAACCACAGTCAGGTAGATTATTCCAGACGTTGACCACTCTGTTGCTGAAGTCTTATTTCCTGCAATCAAGTTTGGTGTGATTAACCTTGAGTCTGTATCTATTGTGTACTCTTGTATTGTTATGGCTGAAGCTGAAGTATTCATTGACAGATAGGACATTGCAATGTATAATTATATGTACTATACTTAGATCGGACAGAAGGTGTCGTAGTTCTAGGTTGTTTAGGTCTAGAATTTCAAGTCTGGTGGCATAAGGTATTCTGCAACGACATGCTACAAAACTGTCTCATTCTTTCCCCAATTGCATGCCATTAAAACAACCCAAATGTTGCTTTCTTTGCTTCCTCAATAAGTTACACACTGAAAATTTCTTCTGTCATTTTTAAGTATCAGTAAATCAAGCAGCCCATTGCATCATGTTGAATACAAATAACTTGCTGACCTACAGCTGTTTGAAATAAGGCCCTGATGAAAAGTTTGATCTTCCAAAGAAATGGCAAAAAATGCAGGGTTATCTCTGCCAAGTCGTCAAGATATCGTGGGGTAGTATTGCTGGGTGGGAAAGAGGCTGTTTATTTTAATAAAAGACAGAGAAGGATTATTTCTTTTTTAAAGCAAAAATATTTATTTGAAAGAATTGGTGTCTGGAAAAACTCAGCAACTCGCAGCTCGGCAGAATGATCTAATGGATATATAAAGGCATGAAGTATTTAACAAAACATACATGGTTGCCATAATGCTCATAGACACCTCTGGCATTTACCAAGATCTCTGTTTTTCTTAGCAAGTGAGTTTTTGCAAATAGGATTTTTTTAAAAGAAAATTTTAGAACATAATCATAAGAAACATGCTAGGCAGTTGGACCTGATCTAAAATGAAGTGGTAGCCTTTAATTCCTCCTTTTCCCTCTGAACATTCTGGATTCCATATTGGTGTGCACATGTTTGGATAAGTGCAGAAAATGTGTATGATAAAGAAAGGACATAAGAAAAGTGATTCCAGGTCAAACAGATATTTTGAAAAATGCTCCTTGAATGGCTTGGAGTGGGGGGAGAGGGGAGAGGAAAGACAGAAGAAAAAAGGGAAAAGATAGAAAAAAGGAACTGAAAGAGCAAGCAAGAAAAATTTGGGATTCAGAATCTCACTTCTTCCTAGATTCAAATTCAAATTGTTGAGCAAGTTGTAGTGAAATGGATGTCTTCAGTTACATATAAGTTAGATGGTATATTATGAATCAGTACTGTAATATTTTATTTGAATTCTATATGTGTCACTAACAGAAAAGCTAAATCTAAAATGCGTACTGGAGATATGAATATATAACCTAGAATACATACCAATCTAGGCATCAAAATACATTTTACATAGAATTCTTGATAGGAATGAATGAATACTTCTGCTTCAAGTAATTATGTTCAGGACAGACATGACTTTAAGGAGCCTGGAATTGTAACAAACTCGTAAAGAATTTTAAATGATAAAAACATATAGAGGTTTATTTTACTCTTTCAAATCATAAAAATAAGTGTCATCATAAGATGTGAAGGAAAAAAAATGGCCTGAAAAGTTATTGGATTGGAAACCTGTCCTTTAAAGCAGCTATGAAATGTAATCCCAGTCTACTAATTCTGCTACATGACCCAACTAGCTAAATGTGAGTATATGTCTTTTTTTGCAATAATTTTCTATGCTTATAAACATGACTAATATGTAGATCAAAAATGTAAGGTTCAGAGCTCTGCTTTCTAGGCCATGTCCACAATACATTGTCTAAAGAAATCCTTTGCCTTAATTTTGATTTTAAAAATATCTTCTTTGCAAGACAGATTATCAGGACAAGATCAAGGCTCAAACAATGACCCACTTTATTTTGCTTTAAAACATCAGGATTAAAATGTCCATTACATCTTCTACAATCCATAAACATGCCTATGTTTTAATTCAAGAAACAATATGCAAAGCTTTTTGTTTGAAGACAAAGCATTTCTACATTTTTATGTTTTCACTTTCAAGGACACTAGATTCTTATAGAAGTGTCAATGGTCTTGCTAATACCCTAAAAGCCAAGAAATTCAGGCTTAGAATAATGCATCAATGGGTGACTTGCTTTTTTACCCTATTTTGGCCCAAAATGAGCCTGGGAAAATGGAGATTGACATTAATTATCTTGGTATTAACAAGTTTTTAACATTTCCCAGAAAATAATTTGGGACTGAAGACATTTTGTATTTTTAAGGTGACTCTGCTATTGGGAGGAAAACTGAAAACCACACCTTTTGACCTCTAGATTTCTTCTTTTGTTGAAAGTGCAAAGAGAAGCCATCCGGAAGGAAGAAAGATTACAGCTATCTATAAACTGTTTGACAGAGGCAGAAATGCTGATAATGTTTGGGCTGTGTCGGTATTTTTTGGCTGCTTGCATCAGCAGGGGGTTGAAGTAAAACAGAGACTCTTGACGTGTTTGTCTAAAGTGGTGGTAGGGCGATCCCAGCCAGTAAAGAGTTCAGCTGAAGTTCAGAACAGATGTTGCCAGTAGTTTATACTTCAGGAAAATAAAATTGCTTCCGGATTTGCCTTTTCCACCTTCATGGCTGAGCCATTCTGCCTCAAAGGACAGTAATGTCAGTAGGGAAACAGTCTTTGAGCAAGATACCCCGGTTGCGATGACAGTCTAGTTCCTCGATAAATCCATACCAATAGATCACTAATCCAGGACCAAATCTACATTGAAACAAAAAAATATATATTATGTAGAACCGCCATCATGTATATCATCTGCAAACGTTCAGAATCATACATTTTTAAGGGAAACACAGAAAAATAATGAAATATTTTATAGATAGGAGTATTAAACCCTCACTCTACATTTAGTGGAAGGACAATTTGTATTCTCCATTTTTTGCCTTTGCCTGACTAATAATGATATATTAATAAAAATCTTAATCATGTTACTTAATCACTAGTAACAGAAGGTTCACTTGTTTCACCTAACAGTTTAAGCTTTAAAAAAAAAAAGCAGTTCCAAAAGGGATGGGAGAGATTGTTTGGTCTTTAAAACACATATTGAAAATTAGCAGGAGGACCATCGAGGCAAATTATCACTTATTTTATGTAGCTTCTTATTGTGGGCAGGCAATTTCTCGGATCACCATCAGGACACTGCAGGCCTAACCTCCATCCAGAAGTTGTGGGTTCTCCCGCATGGAAGTTTTTAAGAAGAGATTAGGCAACCATTTGTCTGAAATGATATAGGGTTTCCTGCTTGAGCAGGGGTTGGAGTAGAAGCCCTCCAAGGACCCTTCCAATTCTGCTATTTTGTTATTCCTCACATGCCTGAGGAAGTTCAGACTCTCAAGAATAATGTGTAATGTGTACAGCTAGACATTTTGCACATCAGTTTCACCTTTTTCCTATTGAGAGCATTTAATTAGAGGGGAGCCATATTTTTGGCGTAGTGTTGTAAGAATTTTACAGCGAAATCATAAATTATGGATGCTCTGTTTGTAAAAGGATGTCTAAAAAGAGAGCAGCTTTCTGTAATCTAATGTCATGGCAGGGTGTACGACTTGAAGCCAAAAAGTGCTTTTTTTTTTCATTTTGTGATTTATTATACAGCTTAGGTAAGCGGCCAAAAACAGCAACAGTATAGGAGGAGCTGTAAGAGATCATATATACAAGTTCAATGCTATGTCATGTAATAAGTCTGCATACAATGCTACAGTCAGCCAATAAGGTAGCCAGCTTTTGTTAAAATATTTTAACTATAATGGAAATGTCTCAAGAGAGCAAAAGTTATTAGGTTGATAATGTAACTATGAAAACTGTGGGCAACATCAGACACTGTTATTTCAACTGGAAGGAACTTGCCCCAAGTGCAGAAGGACAAGTGAACAAGTATTTCAAAAAGGGTAAAACCTAGTTGGCTTCTTTTATTGTTTAGATTGGACCTTCTGCTACCCCAGTGTTTAATTTTGCCATTTGAGGATTCACCGGTATTACTTTCTAATATTTTCAGAAGCAGGTGCCTATGCTCGGTGCTGACATCACATCTTTCATTTAAAAAAACCTCAGATGTTTTAGAAAGACAGATGCTAAACAAAGACTAGACTTGTAGATTTAGCTGTACTAAATAATTATTTCTAAATGTTCACTGGCAGTAAGGCCAAATCACAGTGGTCTTCAATTAATTTGTGTCAAAGAGTGGCTTCTCCTTTATTCTTTGAGAGTTTCCACTGGATTGTAGTCTATTGCTGCATAACAAAATAGGGACATCCATAAAGATGTTGGCTATATTTTGTATTCTGTAGAAACAGCTGAATATGGCCTTGTATGAAAAAAAAAAAACCTGCACAATTATCAGCTTGCTGCAGTAAGATTGCTACCGTATTTCAAGTTTAGGAAAAATGGATGTTCTAAAAAGACGCTGTATATAAAATGTGCAGTGTATGGGTGCAAATTTTTGGCTTTACTAATAGCAATAAGTGAATGGGTTATTAAATTAGTTATGGTTCTTTTGCTTTCTTCAACAATACTAACTGGGCCCAGAATTAAGAAATAAACCACAAGCTTGCCTTCTAATTCATTCTTACTATATTAAATTCAAATCTCTATTGCCCAACATTTGGACATATTATGTGAAGGCCCACTTCTCTGGAGATAATTATAATGCGGGGAAAGGTGGAAGGTAAGAGAAGAAGAAGACAATAGCAGCAAGGTGGATGGACTTTGGTGCAGCAACAATGCGTGTGCTGTTGGAAGAAGACCAGGTTGGAAGCAGATCATCCATAAGAAAATCTATGTGGTTATTGATAGACATAATAAATCAATTACTGAGCAGATATCTGCTATACGAAATATACTTCATCCCCCACTGATATAGTAAATCAGTGTTTTCTATATAACAATGAAACTTGTTCTGCCAGTACAACAGTGACTATTACGTAAAGTCAAAGTCTCTGCCACATGCGTGATTTAAATCTTCTCTCATCAAAATATTTCTCACAAGAGATTTCCAATGAAAGGAAACACAGAATGAAACAAAGAAATAGACAGTCAGAGAGACAAACAAACATGGAAGGGGGGGGCGTTGAGAGAGAAAGAGAACAAGAACTGTCCTAAACCAATCTAATCCTTGCATATTGTCTTTTAGCATCTTAAATCTGTGGTTTTCAAGTTATATGCTTATTAACCATTCTCTCTAATTTGGAGGCAGATTGGTTGGAAAAGCCGATCGTTCATCTGAAATTGCACTGAGGAAACACTATGATTGATCTTCCTAAAAGACTGTCTGCTTCTGTCCTTGCTCCATCCTGAAATCACTGGGATTGGATTCCCAATCCTGGACATTTTGACATAATTTTTTTATTCCAAATGGAAGAGATATCTGGAAAATCCACTTATGTCATGATTGTCTGCCTACAGAAAGATGGGAATATCAGAGTATCTCAGTGGCAATTGTGTTGGCATAACATACTTGAAGGGATCACTGGGACATACAAACACCTAAACCTGATTATCTTGGTTTTATTTGGGGAGCAAGCGTCTTACCCCAGTCAGCCAAGTTGTGGGTTGATATGTGATGGGGAAGGTGTTCCTGGAGTGGAGGATATGTTCATCAGGCAGACAAAAATAATGGCAAATGTTAAATTTCTATGAAAATCAGAACTTGCAATTTTGAAACTTTTCTTTTCTAGCTTTTTTTCTCTTTGCCTTCAATGCTCATTACTGCATGACTGACCAGTGAGGAAGGGACTGATAATGTGATGTAGACTGGACAATACAATCCTGGTTTAAAGGCTCATGCAATACCAGATATTTCCAAGTGTTAATAAATGGGCAACTGCGTTCCAAATGGCTAGATTTTTTTGGACCCAGCTAACCAGTCTGTGAACTATTAAAAAGGAAACTTGATTGGACGAATTGGTGACTAGGATAGTACAATGTCCAACAGTTTGTGGTACTGTTATATTATGGAGAGCAGTAAACTTTTGGTAGCCAGATATTTAAAGTTCTTTGGCAAAGCATGACCCAAATTCATGTGAAAATGATAAAAGTGACTACAGCTACAAAACTTACACATGCAAGGTCAAGGTTTTCTGCCTCCCCTTTTGGAGGTGAGGAGGACAAGATGTTTTAATTCTCTTCTTTGAAAAAAACCTGAAATTTAGGACTTACACTCAAGTTTTCATTTATTTCCTAATCAAAAGGGTAGTATGCTGTGTTGCAAATTTTTAGCAATTGTTGGAATCTCCGAGAGTGTATGAAACCTTGAAATTTCAAACTACCTTTTCCTGCTCCATTATACTGTAAGAGAAATCAAAGACTTGGTGATTTTGAGGCGTATGATCTATTCTCCCAGTGAAACAGATTATGTCAAGGCTGTGTAAAAGCAGAGCTATGCAATACCTCAAAGGAGTGCTTTGCTTTGAGCATCATGAAACACTAATGTACTTATTAATTTTAAAGGCCTCAGTGCAAGCAAACTGTGCCAAAATATCCATTTTGAGAACTTCTTCCCTACATTCACAAAAGAACTTCTGCTAGCATTTCTAGTGTGAAGTGGAACAGCCAAATCAGGGCAGCTTGCTTTTAGAGTTCAGTCATTGCCCTGAATTTAATCAGTCCATTGATGGACAATTGTGGTCAATTTTGAAACTATTTTTTTAAAAACTTGACATGCTTACAATAAGAAGAGCCCAAGATCCAAGTCTTTCCTCATAACTACAACTATAGTTTCTTAATAGGTCTGAAACTGGTTATTAAGTCAATTGTAGTTCTGTCTTTGAGTCAGTGACAGTACTAAGTACTACACAAATTGCTTCTCTTCATAAGATAGAAAATAGAACAGAACAGAATAGAATTCTTTACTAACCTAGTGTGACTGGACACAATGTTTTGGACACACAAGGATAGATGATTAGATAGATAGATAGATAGATAGATAGATAGATAGATGCCTTTGAGAGTACATGTGCATACACATACACACATACTTCTGCAAATTAAAGTTAGTACATGTGCCACATGAATACAACCCCTATTCTAATTCATTGTTCAAAAAGACTTAAGTGAAGTACTTAAAACCAAAATTAACTTGTTGGCACATTTAGCATTTGGCACTGAATATCAGGAACTCCTGCTGCTAAGCATTAATTTCTCTCTCATTAGCTCACAGAGTCGGAAAATCACAAACAATGCCAGTAGTTAATTATTACTGCTTTAATTTGAGAAGTCATTTAACCTTTTTTCCCCTTTTGTGTCAATGGGAAGCATTAAAGAGGTCAAAGATAGAAGCAAGAACCTCCCTTCTAAATTTGAGTCTCAGCCCTATTTTTCATAGATACATAGAAGAATCCAACTCAGGCTCCAAATTACAGAGTAAGTGCCGAAAACTTATTTATAGATTTAATGCTTCTGTTTCACAATTTGGTGACTAACCTTTCTTTTGTCAGCACTTTTTTTTAAAGTTAGTCATGGATAAGGAGGCAAGAACCAAAAATGCAAAAAATGTTGCTTAGTTTTTTTAAATTAAATAAATAATTCTGGAGTGAACATTAAAGTCAGAATCAATACAAACTGGAACGCAATAACACTTTCCTGTTCATGGGTAAGGGAAAAAGGTTCCCCTTGCACATATGTGCTAGTCATTTCTGGCTCTGTTACGAAGCCGAAGAGCCAGAGCTGTCTCAAGACGTCTCCATGTTCATATGGCCGACATGACT